GCCTTTTGAACTCTGAAGGGGCTCTCAAGTGGCTACTAAGAAAGCTAAAATGCAGGCAATCCAACAGAGCAAAAATATAGGAAAGAATTTAACACAGTTCAATGGTTTGGATAAAAATGTTCTAACTACTTCCCTAAAATTGTGGTGAAATGCAGGACTTCCCACAGCTGGGATGCTGCAACTAAGAAGGCAGACCCAGTTCAGTACTTCCACTAGTTCATACCTTGACCATTCTGTGGCAAAGAGAGTTGGGCCTTATGCCTACAGCTGCTGAAGTAGTTCTTGGATGCTCATCAAAAGACAAGTATGTGTTTGAATGATCCTAGAGAGTTTGTATGCCTGGTGAGGAACCAGCTAGCATAAGACAATGTTCTGCTTTCCGTACTGCTCCAGGCTTGTCAAGGATTGTTTTATCCATTATGAGCTGACGTTTTGAACAAGCCGACTGAGCCACTGTGGATTATTTGAGGGGTATCCCTCACATAACTCTCGGTTGTTGTAGTGGCATGTATCCCTCAAATAATCCACTGTGATTAAGTGTGCACAAAATGGCAACCCACATTTGCCTGATCAAGGTTGCCTATTCATGATGTCACCCAGCATGCACTGAGGCCTGTGCCAAGGGCAGTTCATTGTGGGTTCAACAGCCCCTGATCAGCCCAGTGTGCTTAGAGAACTGCATCACAAAAACCATTTGGGAAATGAAACAATGATGCCTGTGGGGGTGGGGAAAAGATCTGGATTTGGGAAATCAGTACATACATAGAATATTAACCGGATCACTTACAACATTTCTTCCCCCTCTTTTCATTGTGGAAAATAAATGTTGACATGATATTAAGAGGTGCACTGCCTCTGGCAAGCTTGAAGATAGCTGATGCAGCTGCTTGAATATAAGTCATTTGGACTATATTCGGTTAGGAAATGTGCAGTTCAGGGAACCTTTATTCTCATGAATTGAAATGGACACTTGCTGTAAGCAACATTCCTAAAGAAAGGGGTTAAATGCTTGGGGGTACCCAGTCTGTTCTGTGGAACTAATTGGGTGTTTGAGTTAAATCTAATTGGAGTAGATGTCCAAATTCATGCTTTAATTATAGCCATGTTACATCATTCTGCTTTGTTATACGGCTTCTTACATGGAAAGCTAGATAATATAAGTTACATAGTCCACCTGAAAAGTATATGCCTAAGCCTAAGCTTTGTGTTGCAGAAACATACATTACAGTGAAAACTTGCTTCTGGATTAAGCTTTCTGTTAAGAGCCTCACCTTTCTGGTGTCTGTGTTTGACAATATGAAATGCATGTGATAGTCTGTCTAGAACAGTCTTTTGAGCCTTCCTTCTCCATGATTAATTACTGACTTGGAATTAAACTGTATGTAATATTTTCCTGGGTTATCCTCTGTATAAGAATTTACAGAATGCCTTTGCAAGTGATAAATTATCTATTCTTCTGCCTGTAAATCAAAATCTATATTTAATTTTAAAATATCTTCAATTAGAAATCTCATGTACAGTTCATACCAGTATAAAGCATAAAGGTCCTTAATGAAGATCTCCTCAGCTGGCTTTTTTGTGGAATTACCCTTTTTCCCTATGACTTAGAGATCAGCATGTCAGATCAGTACTGTCTGTGACTTGTTCCAGTACTTTAGAGCTTGATAACCTGAACTGGCACATTCTGTTCCTTTTGATGCTGCTGGTGAGAACTAATTGCTTCCCATCATCCCTTCTAGATCTTGCTGGAATTACTGGGTTGGTAGGCTTCAGTTTTTGCTCTCTGATATAGCTACGTAGTTTGAGAAACAGCTACACATTTGCCTTCTCATTTGGACATTCTTGAGGAATCAGCCACAATATTATGCAAGTAGTTTAGGTTGTTTTCTTGCTCATGCCCACTAAATAGTGCGTTATATATAGCTGGGAATATAACCTGGCAAAATTAAGGAAAAATAGTACACAGTAGTAATGCACACTAGGTAATGGAGGATCCTCTCAGGTTAGGACACTTTTCCATTTATACCATGTATCACTCTTGACGGTTTTTTGCATTCCCATGGCAACAACAGTTCCTTGTTCTTTTTTGGCTTTCCATAAAGTAAAGGAAAAAGATGTAATTACGCAGAATTTCTTGTTGACTGATTGGCAGGAGAAGATAACAACTGAAATGCATTGTTTACTATGACAGATTTCCTGCTGAAATTGGAATGCCCTGACCTGAATAGGCAACTGAAACTGAACAGCAATCATTCAAGATATTCTGTGCTGGGAGTGAATGATCTGGGCTTGTAGGTTCTGTGAAGTACCAATGGGAAAAAGAGTTACAGCGAAGGGTGGGAGAGGCATGGCTGGCGAGTTGGAACTAGACAAGATGACTGGGGAAGGATGAGCAAGAAGGTGATCAGGCTAGGAAATAATCCCAGTCTGGGTTGAAGAAAGACCATTGTTGTCTGGCATACTTCTTTTGGTAGATGCTTAAGTTGTTGAAAACTTTTTCTTATTATGATGGCTTCAATTATCGTCAAATACAACCTATAGAAATTATGGAATGATGTGATTGACATTTCAGACTCGGACCTGGGAGCCCCTGGTTCAAATCCCCATTTTGCTATGAAGCTACCTGGATATCTTGGATCAGTCGCTCTTTCAGTGTAACTCATCTCACTGGGTGATCAGGAATAATAGACAGGGGATGTAATATAATAGCATTTATTTTAGATTCCTCTATTCCATACCTCACCGACAGAATGACTGGTTTTACACTGCCATGTTGTGGTGGTTTCCACCATCTCCCTGACCAGTTCTCCCACTGCTGGCATGCATCCCACCAGCCATCTTCCCTGAATTCAGTCCCAAGGTGCATTGCTTCCTGCTCTGTTGACTGCCTCTTCCTCATGGTTCACATCCAGAGGCTGGATGGCTGGAACAGCTCCTGCAGGGTTATTCTCTGTTATTGCACCTCATTTTCGGAGTTCTCTTCCTAGAAGTGCAACTGGCACCTCGTTATTCTGTTTTCACTTCCAAGTAAATATTTTTTAATTTAGTACCTGCTTTTAGACCTATTGTTTTATTTGCTTTTCTCTGCTGATTTTATTGTCGTTTTTACTGTTGTTTATATTATCCTCCTGTTTAGCACCTTATAGTAATTGATTTTATGTGGTTTTAGATGTTATTGTTTTACTTTACTACAGTTATGTTACACTGTTGTTTCTGTTCTTTCTGAGCTGGGTGGGCTATAGGGCAGCATACCAATACAATACAACACAATACAAAAATAAATTTGCCGTTCTTTCTAGAGGACTCTATGGTACTTGCATACCAATAGCATGGAGACCACAATGCTGGTTTCAGGCAATATGACAAGCCATGGTGGTACAGAGAAACCATAGAAGAAACAGCTGTTTCAAACGTGCCATGGTAAAATACCATGCCTGAGCTTGGACAACACAACAGAGCAATGAAAAATCCACTATGACTTGCCTTGTTGTCCGAACACAGCCAGTATATTGTAGACCCTCATCATCAAGCTTTTGTCTGCTAGCCCCTCTGTACCTTGGTGACACTGAGCATTTGTCTCAATAACAAATTCCCTTAGATTTGCTATTACTATGGCAAGGTTTTTTACTTTATATTGGGAATTTCCTGTGATGAAGCTTGAGTTCTTTCTCCTGATCTATGAATATGAAGGAGAGGAGGATAAAATTTGCTTGCATACAAGAATGCTAAGAATGTAGGGAATAGCAAAAGTTTATGGGGAAAGCCAGATTACAGCTAGGGATGTGCCACCCTGAAAAACTCGTTCCTTTTGAGCTTGGTGGCCTTCTAACACATTTCCAACCTGATGGCCAAAAGTGGGCTAAGTTAAGAGGGGACTTTTTGCTGGCTTCTGCAAAATTGCTTGAAATATTTGTGCAAATTTATTAATTTAATTTATAGCTGAGAACTGTGCAACTCATGCATGAGTTATGTATATCAGGGCAGACTCAGTAGATTTAAGTAATACTTGTTCTTGCTATAATAGTTAAGATGAGCAGTATGGAAACATCCTCCCACTGCATATGCACACACACCCTCTTAAAAGTTCACATAGTTAATTTCAGATTGATGTAAAATTTGGGCCTTTACTATGCAATATGCATAATTTTATGTAAATTGTGGAGTGGAGGCCAAAATTTTGCAGAATTCCTTGGCTTTTTTTAAAGGTCATACAAAGGACAAGTCATTTTTAAAGCAAAATTCTGCCTTAATTCATATTGGATCAAGTTAGGGCCAGGGCAGTGGATAGAATGCAACAGATTTTGAATCTCCCCCACTCACCTCCACCCCCTTAGATACCTCTTACTCCTCAGTCCAGGTACCAGATTTTTGTTACTAGTCTGGGTAGAGATTAATTTATTGCAGACAATGAAGAAACAATGGTTAACAATGGGCTGCAAAATACTTCTGGCCCAGTGGAATCTCGCTTCATGGCTTCAAGAATAACTTCAAGAAATCCCAGGTATGGCCAGCAGGCTTTGGTCACTTGTGAACTTTAATGCACAGGAGTTTGATCTAGGATGGACTATGGTGTGAGGAAAATGGAGAAGGGTGTTTTTGTTGGGTCCTGAAATAGAAATTAGCATGTTTTGACAAGAGTAAAATACATTGAATTACAGCACTGCATATGTGAGGGCTTTTCCCTTTCCACCGAATTGCTTTATTGCAAGCAAAGGTATGTGTGACACTTTAAGATGTTGTAGGAAAATGTGCATTTCATGTACATAATTTGTAAATAAAACTCTTTTGGAGGACTAAGAAAGTAGAACCAGTGAAGTCAGTTGGTTCTGCTGATACTCTTCTCCTAAACTAAATGGTAGAAGAACAAGGTCTTGTCTATGAGATACCACTAGATCTTACTACTATCTGCCAACAATGTCCAATAATTTCCAAATCTATAGTAAGGAAGGAGTGTGTTTTCCAGGATTTATATGTTTTGTGTGTGTTTTTTTTCTTTTCAGACCAGTGCACTGTTACTCGGACTTACCTGTTCCTTCACAAATTCTGGTTCTTCAGTGCTGCATATTACTTTGGGAATTGGGCTTTCATTGTGGTGAGTAATTTCATTTGAAGGTCATTATAGATCCAACCTTAGCAATTTAGAGAATTGAAATCACCATATAATTTGCATCAGAGTGATGTTACCCCATTCTAAAGCTGTTACTTTAATATTCCCTCAACTGATCAACAATAATGCATTATACTGATTTGAATTCATAGGTCTTCTTAATTGGATTAATAGTGTCGTGCTGCAAAGGAAAAAAGTCTGTCATTGAAGGTGAAGTAGATGAAGATGATTCAGATACAAGTGATGACGAGCCATCTCTCTGTTACGGTTGACAGCCCGTAATCCTGAAGGTTAAAGTATGCAATGTAAAGCTGTGAAAATGTCACTTTAGTTTGAACTTTGTTCTTGCAAACGTTCACATTTGCCAATATTAAAGCAGGGATAAGTGATGTAAAGCGGGATTGGGAATTGTTAAGCATCTTACAATTAAGCTACAGTGTACATATGTAATCATAAAAGAGCTAATTTTATGCAAGGATGATTAAAGAGTACTATTTTTTGAGTATAAGCTGTGATCATTTAAACTAGTTCTGTTAGGCTTGACTTTTAAATTACTTTGCGCTTGGTCCCATATGACAAGGCAAAAGACAAGTATAATCTGATATGTGTATCTTATAAAATTGGCCCCTGTTAGATGATTGTTGGCTTTGGTGAGTAACTGAAAGCACCAGGCCTGTTCAGAGAGTACGGTTCCCTCCTGTATCGTATGTGAGTGCAATGACACTGGGACCAGGAACCAGGTTTACTGGCTGCCTCCCCTGTCACCTCCAGAACATAACTGCGCTGGGATGCTCCACACAGAACCTGGTGTTTCTGTAGTATAGCAAGTGCCTGTAGCAAGGTTAAGGAAATGGTGAATTTGGGTAAATGTGGGATCTCCAAGTACAGCTCTTAAATGCATTTAGTAGGACCGATGGAAGAGGGAGTATCCATGCCTCCCTTAAGCCTGTCATTCATGGCAGCAGGTGGGATGGAAAAAGCAACATTGCCTGGACACACCAACAGTATTGACTATACTCAGAAGAGAACTCTGTTCAACAAAGAACAAACTAAGGCACAATTTTCATTCTTGTAATTTGGAGACTGTTGTGTCTCCATTGGCTAATTTAACTGTGTGTGGATTTTTAAACTATGTGGAATGTTAATCACTGAAGTTAGTTGTTTGATTTTTGCTGTGTCTCAGCTTATTAATACCACATACATTGAGGTGATTCTTTTAAGCAGCTGAAATTAGTATACCCTGTCATTTTGTTTAGAGCTATAACAAAACGGAATGTATAAATATTTAAAATCATGCAAAGCTTTTTTCTGTATCATTTTGTAAAATAAACTCATCAGGATCTTGTTTCCATGCAACTCTGAAACATTCTTATAACATGAAATCTGTTGTTTAATCTCAGTTCTAATCTTTACTGTTCTTAGATTTACCTTCCATTGTTTAAATTATTACAGTTAAAGCAAACTCTTGTGAATGATAGTTTTCCAGGCTGAAGTAATTTTATATACTGTCTCCTTAAATATTTTGTAGAGCAATATTTAAGGCTCATCATTACTTATTAATTATAAAAGCATTTGAATTATTTCATTTCACCTGCTCTAGTAAAGGGTTGGTGCCTGCCTAACCTCCCAAGGGCAAGACTGCCATACAAGTGGGACCACTACACTGAAGGCTCTTCTCCTGGTGGACTCCACTTGTCCCATGTGTCTGTATAGAGCCACCAGGAGAATGTCTTCCAGTGACCGCACTGACTGGGTGGATTGGTAAGGACAAAAGTACTCTATCAGGTATCCCAGTCCCAAGTTTTTCAGGGATTTATACACCAGTACTAAAACCTTAAACCTGGCCAGGTAGCAAACCAGTAGCCAGTACAGATCCTTCTGCAAAGGAGTTGTGTGCTGTAAAAAGGCAGCTGCTACATTCTGCTCTACTCCACCCTTAGCTTTAAGGGCAGCTCCATATAGAGCACATTGCACTAATCCAGTCTTGACTGTAGCTGGAAAACTAATTGGAGATGGTAAAAGACACTCTGAGCCACTGCAGTCATAGTAATCAATCGAGGAGCAGCTCTAGACTTTGAGCCTGACCCTTAAGGGAAGTAAAACCCTGTCCAGAACAGGTGGTAAATCTCCTGGACTCAAGCAGTTTCAGCTTATTCACAGGACCTCTGCTTTTCCAAGACTCAAATGTATTGCCCATCATCCAGCTGATCACTGAATACAGTCACTAATCTTGGACTTGCACAGCCTCTTCTGATTCTCTTGTCACAGGGAAATAGTACTGTGTCATCAGCTTACTGATGGCACTTGGCTTCAAATCCCTAATGACCTCTCCCAGTATCTTTGTGCAGATGTTATATAACATTGGAGATAGGATGGTATCCTGTGGAACCCCATAGCTCACTTGATAAGGAGTTGAGGAATAGTCACCCATATGGTAGCCTGAAGGGAATTAATTGATCCCGGGGAGAAGATTGGAACCACTATAACACAATGCCTGCAATACCTAGCCCATGGAATTGATCCAGTATGCTCACAAACCAATGAAAGATCAAGTAGAATTATCAGGATCACACGCTGTTTCATTCCTAATAGATGCCATCTATTAGTGTGATCGAGGCTGATTCAGTTCCATAAGCAGGGCAAAATACAGATGGAAATAGGTTCAGATTTCAGTATCCTCCAAAAGCAGCATCTGCAGTAACTCTGCTACCACCATCTCAAGTTAAAAAAAAGGGAGGGGGGTTTGCTACCAAGTAGTAGTTGTCCAATACCATTGGGCCCAGAGTGCCCCTCCCCCCGAGGACAACAGGGATCACCTTTCATGCACAGATGTATTTTCCAGTTCCTCGACTCACCTAATTAGACCCCCTTGGCTACCTTTTATCAGCCAGGAATGGAAAGTATTAAGAGAACGCTTGGTTGCATTACTGTAAGCATCTTGCCCCTGTGTCATTGGGCTTTAATAACTGAAAATTATTCTACAAAATCAGGCAAATGGTGGCATCGGACCTCAACTGGACCCATGATAGCATTATCAAGTTTATTGCAGAGACCAGTAATTTTGCCCTCCAAGTGCAATTAAAAGGGTCACAGTAGGTCTTTGAGGGGGCCAGGGCCCCATTCACTGGAAAGAATAACAGCTGGACTACCCAGAAGAACTTTGCTGGATGACTACTCAAGGGTGCACCACATTGCAAAAGACCCAATTATGCACTCTATAGCACAATCACTTTTGCTTCAAAGTCTTATACCATTTGTGCTCTGGACAGAATCTAGCTTGTTTCATCAACTGCAGCTCCCCAGTACACCAAGGACAAGAATGGCCTCTACAATGCCAGAGCAGGGCACTTGGGTGCAATTGAGTCTATGAATCTCTTCATCTCACTGTTCCGCAGTGAGTCCATGACCTCAGTAGGATCACCAACTCTGTGCACTGGGAAATCCCTAAGCACATTCAGTAATCCATTGAATTCCAGCAGTTTTCTGCATCACACCATCTGAATGGGCCCCCTACCTGCAATGTTGTAAGCCTAAATCTCACTAGGAGATGGTCTACCATGATCCTCCCCGCATTTTAACCCATTCACCCATTCACCTTATAACCTGGTGCAAAAACCAAATCACATGTATGCTTTGCATTCAATTGAAGATAAATTATGCCCTTTGACATGGCCACTCATTTTGGTGCATAGACATGTACTGTTGGGATGGTTCAGAAAGAATACATTCTCTGTGTCTAATATGCCATTCAGGTTTTTTTGAAATGCATGGGGTTGTTTAAGAGGCAAATAGCTATTTTTTCTTTGAAGCTTGCTGAAAAAGCCAGAAGTAGCCAACAACAGTAAATAAAGGCATTGAGGTAATTGCACTTATTTGAACTTCTACGTTAGTGTTCAGAATTGAAAGCTATCTTGTTAAATACTATTACATACATACATACATACAGGCAGAGGCAGGAGAGGTTATGTTAGCAACATGCTATTCTGTTATATGCATACTGTATATAGAAACAATTTGTAGTCATATACATTTTAAAACTGATTCCCATCAACATGTCTGGGTGCTATTTGCATGAAGGCGTGGGCCTTCTCAACATGCTTGTTTCATATATCTGTTCTTGGAACAGAAGCATAGCAAAGTAACTTCCAGTACTATTTTCAATTTAGAATTGGCCTAAAACCTTCTGTGGAGGGTTACTTCAGTTCAAAAGTTATCAACAGGAGAATTACATAGGATTTTCTCTTACAACTCTCAGAATTCCAAACTTTTAGATTTTAAACATTCTCTTCTTCATGGTTATAGAACTATAACTGGAACTGTTGTGGCAAAAAAAGAGCCTAAGGAATGAAACTAGGAAGCATGCATAAGAATTCATGACCTTGCAAATCTCTCAGATCTATAATTCGTTAATAGTGATGCTTTCAAATGCTGATTCAGGTCTGTCTACATTTAGAATAATGCTATTTTGGAATAAGTGCAACATGTCATGCAACTGTAGCTGTTAATTTGCTAAATATAAAATTGTGTAATTTCTGTATATTAAGCGTGCGAGATGCACACGCTTAGCCTTTAAACCAAGGGGGTTTGTTTTGATAAATTCTGTGCCTTTCATTCCCATAAATGCCTTTTAAGAAGGTGGTTTATGACAAGGTCTAATCTGCTGATCATGTTAACACATCTGCTGTATCCAGAGAGTGGGATTATTTATGCAAATATTCTTAGACCAAATTTCGCTTGCTTTCTTTAGTAGACCAATGGAGGTAATTGGCTAAAAATTGAAGAACCAACCTCAGATCCTCTTTCAGTATCTAGTTTATTCATAGCGCTGTAGCTGTACAGGTCCCTCTAGAATAATAGTTCAATGTGTGGTCAAAAGTATGACATGACAGAAATGTATCAGAGTCAGGTATGAAATTGCCTACAGTTATGCAGTGAAATGTTGTGTAAGCCATCTTCTGGTATGTATGCCATAGCATTCTCCTGCTACATGTAGAAATATAGTTGGAACCAATTGTATCTGTGAAAAAAAATGCTCTGAAGGTTGCGTGTTATGGTAACTAATCACGCTTAAAAGAAAATGCCCAGGTAATGAACAATACCATCTGAGTAGCATGACAAACGCAAGATCTAGTGTGTGCAACTAGTGGGAGGAAGCATAAACTCATTAAATGCCTAAATCATGAACCTAGAATAGGTTCTTTGGATGCCTGATGAGAAGTCAAAATATTTCAAAATCAAATGCTGTACATTCTCGTTCCATTGTCAGTCACAACTAGAACCAATTCAAGAGAACAAAACTGTACTGGTCAAATTCAAATCTAGTTGCATTTTATCATAGAATCATAGAATAGAAGAGTTGGAAGGGGCCATGAAGGCCATCGAGTCCAGCCCCCTGCTGTTGCAAGACACCACGTTACACCATCCCACTCAGATGGCTGTCCAGTTTCTTTTTGAATGTCTCTAGTGTGGGAGAACCCACCACCTCTCTAGGCAGCTGGTTCCACTGTTGTATTCTGACAGTGAGGAAGCTTTTCCTGATGTTCAGTCTGAATCTGGGTTCTCACAACTTGAATTGATTATTCCTACACTCTGGCATCAGCAAGAAGAGATCTTGACCTTCCTCTTTATGACAGCCTTTGAAGTACTTCTAGAGAGATATCATGTCCCCCCTCAGTCTTCTCAAGGCTGAACATGCCCCGTTCTCTATCTCTCCTCATAGGACAGTGTTTCCAAGCCCTGGATAATTTTGCCCTCTGCTGGACCCTTTCTAATTTACCTGCATCTTTCTTAAATCTTGGTGCCCAGAACTGGACATAGTATTCCAGGTGAGGTTATGTATTAATCAAAATCCCAGAAAACTTTGGGCTTTTCCTATTGGTGGGATCTTTTTATTTACCTGGTATTTTAAAGTTTAAATATTTTAATATGTTTTTATCCTCAGGCATGGGTTATTATGATGTGTTTATTATGATGTATTTATTGGGTGATTTATTATAAGCCATCCAGAGCCATACAGTAATTAGATGGGCTAGAAATACCCCTCATAAATAATAAATAAATAAATAATCAAAAGTATTGTGTTAGGGTTTAGAAATCCTACTGACCAGCTCAGTTACTGACTCTCAGCCTAATCTATATCACAAGGTTATTGAGGGGAGGAGGATCCCAGAAAGGGAAAAAAAGGATATAAATACTTAAATGATCTCACGCACTAAAAGCCCTTTAATAGTTCCTCATGTCTGATATAAAATTGGATCAATAAGGGAAAATGCCAACTAACTTAGGGTCTTTCTAAATGTTACCCTATTCTCTGAGTAGCTCCCATGCCTCTTTGTCCCTCATTTTCTAATAAAAAA